TCATATCAAATTTAAAACCAAATATTAGTTATACAAAAATATCAAGATCATATAGTAAATTGTCAATAAAATTTTAGTTAAATAATTTAAAATAATTAATGTTTCAATTATATTGTTAATTAGCAAATAATTTATTTCAAAGCTAATTAATTTTTTTATATTAGTAAAATTTAATAACTTTTAATTTAACACTCTCATTTAATATAAAGTTATTGAGTGATGTTATACTTAGCAAAAATTATATCGGTGTTTTTATAACCCTCCTCATATATATATATATATAAATATATATATATATATTTTAAAAAAATTTATTAATTTTTTTAATATATGATTGTCAATTTTTGTAAATAAATTCTTATATTTTTGATAAATATAAATTTGTCAGAAATATTCTATCAGTAATATAACTTTTCCTACGATTTTTTTTTCATCGAAAATATAAATTTTCTGACGAAAAAATTCGTCGAAAATTCTTGACGAATTTTTATCGATCGATAATTTCTGATAGATTTTTTTCGATATAAATTTCTGACAAATTTTTCTTTTTTGTCAGAAATTTCTGATGAATTTCCCTAACGGGAAATCCGTCGGTAATTTTCGACAAATTTTTTTCGACAGATTTTTTCATCAGAAATTTCTGACAAATTTTTCTGTCATAAATTTTTTGATTTGTATTCGTCGAAAATTACCAATCAAAAATTTGCGTGTTTTTTTTTCTTATAGTACTTGTAAGATGTATTATAACTTGAAAATTATGGAATTATTTTTATGATTTTTCTTATTTTATTCAATACAAAATTTTGAATATATTAATATCTTAATTAATCAAATTGATTACTCAACCCAATGCAACTAAATTAAGGTCATATTAGATAGCTAAAATAATACAAAACCGACCAAAATCTAAAGTAATTAAGGTGAGATTAGGTCACTAAAAATAATACAAAACCGACAAAACTCAATTATATCTAATTAAGTTAAGTTTAAATTTTTAAATCAAACCATCCGTTTAGAATCCTAATAAGTTGGAGACAACCTACTATTGAAAGAGAACTTGCTAACTAAATACTATTTGGAACAAAAACGCTTAAATAAACTGAAAATTAAATAAAATTAAATAAAATAAAAAGCATAAAAAAAACTGAAAAATAAATACACACTATAAAGTCAACTTGAATTCTTGAAATTTAAAAAGTGTTTGGAATGAAGGTAAAAATAAGTGGAGTCGAAAGAAAAAATTGAAAATTAAATAGAAGAAATAGTGAAAAGAAGGAAAAATTTTGAATTTTATCTCTATACAATTAACTTCTCTTTTTTTTCTTTTTCTATCCCATCTTCAACCAAACAAAATATATATATATATAGAGAATATACTATGCAAATTTCATATAAACACAATTTATATTATTATTTACTAATTATTAAAAAGTATGTTGATCTAACATCAATTATAAATAGTCTATTAATTTCAATAAATTTAATAATTTTTTTTATTTTTTTAAATAAAAAAATATAATGATCAACAAAATATAGAAACTAAAGTAGTTACTAAAAAAATAATATTAAAAAATTATGAATAATTATTAAAAAATATAGATTTTTTTTAATATTTGAAGGGTATAATAATCTAATAAAAATGAATACCAAAAGTAATTATATATTCATGTATCTTCTTTATAATAAATATAAATAATAATTAAAAATAATAATAACTAGAGAAATAGAGACACTACGTACCTTTAATTATTATAAAGAAATAAAATATTAAAAAATTGCATATAATTATTCAAATAGGACATAAGAGATTTGTTTTTGCATCTAAGAAATATAATGATCCACTAAAAAGTAGAGACAAAAATAATTATATATTTAATATTCCTTTTATAATAAAATTAGAAAAATTGAGACACTTCATACCTCTATGTAGACAAATATTAAAAGTTGTAAATATTTACTCAAAAATGATATAATATTTCTTTTAATCTAAGGAATATAATAATCCACCAGAAAGTAGAAACCAAAAGGGTGGTTACCAAAATATATTTCTTTTATCTATACTAAAATAAAAATATATAAAGGGGATACCATTTTCAATAATTACTTTTTGTTTCCACTTTTACATAGACCATTTTATTCTTTATTTATTTTTCAATAATTATTTTTTTTATGAGTAACTTCTCATTTTTTTATTATTATTTATTTTTTCTTTTAATATAATTATTTACTTTTTCCTGCTAGTATATACTAGAGAGGTTGATGCACTTCATGCTTTTAATAATTACAGTTACACTATATATATATATATATATATATATATATATATATATTCTCCATTTATTTAAAATATATTCTCTTTATTAATAGTTATATATATATATAGAAGTATAGATTTTCACTTTTTACATAAAAATTCAAAATAGAAAACGAAAAAATAAACTACTCTAAAACTGTTATTTTACTATTCTGGACAGGAGAGAAATTATCAAGTGATAAAAAAACTTAATAATACCTATTAAGTGTGACACATAATTTGGTGATATTGTACTGTCTAACAATTTCTTCGCGGCTAGGTCGGTGACCAGATCAGTTACTGTTGAAAGAAAAATTGTACTTAAAAAAACACAATTGAGGAGTGAAGAAATGACAGTGACATTAGAAATTGTAATCTAAGATAAGTGTCTGTACTTGTTTAGAAACATGAATCTCAGTTGCTATGTATCTACGGCCTCAAGAAGTTTCTGTATATAATAACAATATAATAAGAAAAAGGCTTCCCTGTAAAACAAAAGTGGGAGCAGAAAGGAGAGCAGGAATCATGATCCAGTCTGACCAACAAGGACATCCTTATAAGGAGTAGGAAGAGGAGGTAAAGTAACTTTGGTCTCTGGAGGTTGATGATGGCTTATGGTTTGATGATGATGTTCCATTATGAGTGGAACCTGTCCTTCTCTCGCACTTGCCAATCGCTCGTGTGCTCCACCTCGCAGTTTCTCCAGCCTTATTCCATTCATTTGTTGCATCTTGAACACTTTTATTAAGTTTGTCAATCCCCCAATAAAGAACATCAGGCTTCCTAATATTCCTAGCCAGATCCAAGTCCTACCCTATATATATCAATCAACAATATCGACTCACATTAGTTCTCTTAGTAAGAATAATGGCCCATATAAATATCTGCTATCGAGTGATTAATCATGAGCTTATCCTAGTTAATATTTTCCTTTCAACATAATCTACATGTAAAAATAATCTAATAATCTACCTAAACAACTCCTTAACAGATATAAGTAGGTACTCCTTGTTTCAACAAGACATAAGTAGCTATAGCTCCTACTTGTTTCAACAAAGTAGTTGGTTAAGAGACATAAGGCAGACAGCAACTACTAGTTCCAACTATATATAGGGTTTTTTTCAGTGCTGAATTTTTATTTTAATTAATTGAATTCATATATATGTCAAGTAAGAGAAAATTGAAACATGGTATATGTAGAGTACTAACAAGTAAATGAATGACATGGTGGATCTCACTAGATTGGTGGTGGTAATTGAGAATTGCAGCAAGCATGAAGGACAAACTCCCCATCAAAAAGGGAATGTACACACACTGCTGCAAGATTTGAACATGGCCATCGGCTCTCTCGTAAATCTGGCATGAATTATGAATTGACCCAATCACCCACAAGACAGTACCCGAAAGCAGCATGTTGAGAGCATGTTTCTCAAGTTTGAAGTAGCCATGTCCTTTCTCTTCCTGCAAAAAAGAAAGACGTTAAAGACATGGATATATATATATATATATACAAATATATCCAAGTAATGTTAAGCAATAACCTGAATGAAAAGGAAGAAGACGGCAAGGAAGGCAAGGAGCGATCCGAGGATGTGAATGATGGGGACGGCGAACTCGACGAAGGCGAGTTGAAGGTCGAAGGCCATCAAGGGTAAGCGGAAATCGATGCCCGCGAGATGGGCGAAGAGGTCGTGGAGGTTGACGAGGAGGAGGATGGCCAAAGCGCTCATGGCAAGGAGGAGGCCCAATCGGGCTTCGGGCCAAAGCTGAGCCACCATGCCGCAAACCAGCAGGACGGACCCTATCAGATACAGCCCCGCGTTTATGTACTCGTACCGATTTTTCGCCAGGCCCGGCCCGTACGTGCGGAACTCCCTCGCGGATGCTAACTTCACCATCCTCGTCTTGTTTTGTTTTGTTTTGTTTTGTTTTGAGTTGGTTGGTTCTTCTTTCCTCGTTTGGGGAATGGATAGTGAGGTTTTGTTTGGCCACGTGGCGACGTGCATGGGGTTGTGTCAGTTACTATTCACATTGCACTGTGACGCGTGGTGGAATGGAAATCAATAAACTGCCGATGCCGATGCTGCTGCTGCTGCTGGACATTCTACACTTCTTCTTCTTGGGCCTCTTTCAAGGATTCCAACACGGTTCATGATATATACACCTCCATTTTTTTATACATACACCTTCTTTTTTTTTAAAAAGTATTAAATTTTTAAATTATCCTTCATATTATTTTGAATAAAAAAAAAATTATTTTGGAAAGTATTTTTTAAAGGTCGATGATATATACACCTCTTTTTTTTTTTTTATAAGTACACTTTTTTTTCAAAAAAATAATTAAAATTTTAAAATATTCTTAATTTTTTGCTTTTTTTTTTAATTTTATATTCACAACATTTAATTTAGTACTTTTTTTTACAGATCTTTTTTTTTTTTTTTCAATTTTTACATGCACCCCGTTATCTTTCCTTCACCCCACCTATTTTGGTAGCATGTAAAAATTGAAAGAGAAAAAAAAGTGTGTGAAAAAAAAGAAAAAAGTAAAAAATTGAAAGTTAAAAGTATAAAATTAAAAAATATATATATAATATTTTATAATTTTTTTAAAAAAATAAAGAAGGTGTACTTATAAAAAAACAGGAGGTGTATATATCATGAGCCTTCCGAAAAGAACTTTCCGTCAAAATAATTACGGAAAGTACTTTCCGGAATAACGGAGAGTACTTTCTGGAATACTAAAATTATTATTCCGGAAATAACTTTCCATCAAAATAATTATGAAAAATACTTTCCGTAACACTAGAATTACTATTGCGAAAAATTCTTTCCGGAATATTAACAGTGTGTGTATTTGTTACCATAATTCCGGAAAGAACTTTCCGCAATAGTAATTTTAGTGTTACGGAAAGTACTTTCCAAAATTATTTCGACGGAAAGTTATTTCCAAAATAGTAATTTTAGTATTCCGGAAAGAACTTTCCATAATTATGTACAAATACACATCTTCAGGATAATTTTTTTTTATTTTAAATAATATTAAGGATAATTTAGAAATTTAATATTTTTTTTAAAAAAAAGGAGTGTATGTATATATATCATCAGCCTTCCAACACGTTTCCCTGATTTTGGGTCGCCCAGCTTTTTAACGAGGGCCTGTTTCTGGATCACATGATAAGCCTTTTTTCAAAACAAAAAGCCTGATAGGTTTCTCTCTTTCTTTTCTTCCTTGTAACTTTAAATTTCTGTCAGATATCTATTTATTAAATTACTAGAGGGACCGTAATTCTAACAATTACACATATATAATATTATGGTTGTTAGTGGTTATTAAAAAGGATATGAAAACCAAAAAGGATATGAACTTTTTTTTTATAAACATTTTGTTTCATCTTTTTAAAATTCAGAATTATTATTTTTAGTTTGTATAATTATGTAATTAGTTTTAACTATTTGTTATTCATTAAAAGCTTAAATGATGTTTTTAAGTGTTATTCATAATTGTTATTAATATCATATGAGTGTGTGGTGTCTTTAAAAATGTTTCATATATCCTTAAAATAAATTTTTACTTATATTGTAACGACCCGCTATGACCGTCACACTATGCAACACACGTCTAACTATGCAATATACATATACTAAAACAGTAGTATAATATCAACATTCTACATCTCTAGTTTATGTGTAACCATATACATAAATATCTACTCAAAACATCTGATATCAGCCAGTAGGCTTCAAAATAAAATCCATCTCTGAGTACTACATGTGGCTCTACTACTACTCTCCAGCCTATCTCTGCTCTGCTCTCATACATAGTATGATCATAGCAGTACAAACCATATGGAAACACGCAAGGGTAAGCTAGTGAAAAGAATCAACATATATATTTAAACAACTTACAACTCAACAACATAAATCACCTTTTTAACAATTCAACATTCAACGGATAACAACACCCAACTCAATCACAGCTTCTCAACATCACAACATATATACAACTCAATCAACGCAAGGTTAACACATCAACAACTTATGCGTCGTCACGCATTTCAACTCGGGGATCTACTACAACACAGGGTGAGAAGTCTAAGTGGCTAGGTCCTACCGAACCGACAACACAAAATCTTTTTGAGCTTGCTAGGTAAACAACAAATTTGGATATCAATCTACAACACGATAACGATTTCTCAGAGTTTACCACTTAAACAAAGAAGTATAGTACTCTGTCACGATAGAACATTTGGGTTTAGGCCTATCACGACATTAGTTAGCTCAACTAAGCCACATATGGAATTAGCCTACCGACTATCCTCCAAATACTACAACCCTCCAATACTCGGTTAGGAACTAAGTTCCCGACTTCGTACTTTACTCGGATTGGCTGCTTGTAATCGATATAGATTGACCTGGCCCCTATACCGTGATCACTTCATACACGTGTGCCTCGACCTTGCCCACACACAGGATCAACTAAGTCTTAGAGGAGAACAACACATCATCCACTCTAAGAGACAACTTCCCAAAGAGAGTTTTTCAACAAATTAGGCTCTCAGAGCACCGCAACTACCTCAATCCACACAATGGGATGAGTAACTTCGAAAATATCTCCTCTAATCTTAGTGATCAACCACTCATCATCACAATACAATCAACACACAACTCAACAGCACGGTTCAACTCAACAACTCATATAACAACACAACATCTCATTATAGTTTTAGCACAACAACTCAGTCACTACACAACTTTTCAACTCATATCATATAAAATTAAAAAATTTAAAAAAAAAAGTTTACAATATTTAATAATTTTTTTAAAAAAAATAAAGGAGGTGTACTTATAAAAGAAAAGAGGTGTATATATCATGAGCCAAGTCTATATCATAGTGAACATGTGTAAAATCAGTTGATAGATTGAAGGTTGATGATATATACACCTCCATTTTTTTATACATACACCCTCTTTTTTTTTTTAAAAAATATTAAATTCCTAAATTATCCTTAATATTATTTGGAATAAAAAAATTATTCTGGAAAGTGTTTTTTAAATGTGTGTTTGTACATAATTATGGAAAGTACTTTCCAGAATACTAAAATCACTATTCCAAAAGGTTGATGATATATACACCTCCTTTTTCTTATAAGTACACCTCCTTTTCAAAAATATAAGAAGTTTTTCTACAATTCTCATGAAGATATCAAGTCTTAATTCCATCATCTACTCTGTTAAAAAAATTAAAAACCGCAACAGCCATGACAAATACTGACAACTTGACCCCTGTTCACTAAAATAGACATATCAGGAGTTATACAACTCCTATCATGCTCATCCTTATCTCATATGAAAGATAAGAAGATTTCCTACAACTCTTATGAAGATATCAATTCCTAATTCTACCATCTGCTCTGTTAAAAAAATTACAAATCGCAACAGCTATGACCAATACTGACAGCTTGACTCCTGTTCACTAAAACAGACAATATTTGGAGTTTCAGACCTCCGTTTTAGGTGATTCCAGTGCCATTGGAAAACTAACATCCAAGACTACAACTTTCATGAAGACTTTGAGACCAAATTCGATCATCCAGTCCCAGTACTGCCGCGCTCAATTCAGCACTCCAGATAAAATGTCCTACCCTCCCATGGCTTCCCACATGCTTTTCATCCAAAATCCATCAAAACTTACAATTCAAAAGACTCAACACTTGCACTTACAAGAAAACAGTCGTACCATCAACATGAAATTCAGCAACATCACAAACCCCGCATGCAACCAGAATCTGTCCCAAACCATCACATTTTTCAAACAACTCAAAACCCCTCTTTTTGATTCCACACACCAATTTAATCAACATGCAACCAGAAATTTTGCTGCAACAGTACAATATTTTGCCCCAAAATCAACAATTTTTCAGCTTCCCTTACCTCGGAGAAGAAGAATCCGAGCTCCCGGAGAAGAGAAGGAGAAGAAGAGAAATGAAATTGCTTATGGGAGGAAGACTAGCCTTACAGCTTTCCTTTGTTCTCAACAACTTCACCTTCTAAAATCAAGCACCAACACCTAGGTTTCAGCCAAGAAAAGGAATGGAATTGAGTAAAGTGAAAGAAGAGAGGAAAATGAGAAAGTAAGGGTTTTGAGGAGTGGGAGGTGCGGGTCTCACATATATACTTTAAAATTATTATAAAGGATAAAAATAGTGATTTTAAATTTTAAAAAAAATTAAAATCAAGGATTTCTTTTTTTGAAATTTAAATCAAAAGTAAAACCTAATAATTTTATTAAAAGTGAAAACATATTTAAACCTTTATAATTGTTTATCAAGTTCTAAATCAGCAAACACTACAAGAAATGTTACATATAGTGACATACAAAAAGTGTCACTATAGGTATAATATATGTAGGTATATGTCTATTTAACATATAGTTACACACAATTTTAGTGTTGATTTTGAATGAGATTTAACATCATATTTTGTGTGTCACTATAATCTATACCCACACTTTTTAATAACATACTAACATATATTGTAGTTATTGTGTGGGTAAAAGTAATTTTTAGTGACATGTATAGTGTCACTATAGGGTGTGTGTCATTATATGTTAATTTTCTTGTAGTGAACTTTAGTTATATAAATATTAGAAAAAATATAAATAATTATTATTTAATAGGATAATTTTTTCTATCACATACTTAGAGCATCTTTAAGGAAAGATGTTTGCTAAAGTGCTTCAATAAAACTCTAGTTATTCGAAGCAACCTTCTAATTGAAACAATCTAACGTAACAATAAAAAATGTTTAAAAAACAAATTCAATTTCTTAAGCAAGCAACTATTGCTTGCTATTGAAAAACAATATTAATCTAGTAAAATTTATTAAACAAGTGTTACGTAATCAAGTCAAAATTAAAAAATATAAAAATTATAAATTTCTTGAAATTCTTAAAACTTTTTTTATTAAAATAAAATTGAGTATAAATTACTTAACGATAACTTATCTCAATAATATTTAGCAATCACATATTTAAATATACTAAGCAACTCATGTGTTGTTTCCATTGAAGTTGCCCTTATAGTTACATCTATGATATAAGAAAAAAAATATTAAATAATACGAGTTTTGTTAATTTATTGAAAATTCATCTTCTGGAATATGTAATAATTTTTTTTTTGTAAGTTCTTATTATATTTTCTTGTTAGAGTTCAAATAAAATGTAAAATAATTTTCGCGACAACTTCTTAAAATGAATAATAAGACTTCCTATATACCAAAAAAGAATAATAACACTTCTTAAGTAATGTACAACATCTCTCTATATCTTAAATCACATAATATTACGTACAGATAATACACTAAAACCTATAATCAAATCATCTATATATGTTTAGGAGTATTTCTTTTCTAATATATAGAAAATTTGGTCGAGTTTTGTGTGAAGCAGTGACTAATTATTTCGTTTAAGGGGAGAATTCTCCCGACACATAATTTGTTGAATAAAGTAACGTATCAGCATGTAGATATTGGTCATGTGAATGTGTAACGCAAGACGACGATCGGTGACACACTTGATGCGTCTAGTCATGAATGTGTTCAATATTGTGCAACGCAGATACTGCAAATATATGAGAATCATAAAGAGTTGCGCTGGGAAGAGATGGTAGCTAGTACGCGTTGCTAACTGCCATGTGATTTCAACACACAGAATCCTATTATAATTAGAGTTTGCGGTTGAATCATGGAACGCGTGGAAAGAGGAAATCGTGATTCGTGGGCAGACATTTAATAAAATTAATATGAATTTTTGGACCTTTAGATTCAGTGATATGGAGATGCCTGTCACTGCAAGATTAGAAAGCAAAAGCAAAGCACATTTGGGGGAAAATATTGTTTGAAATGAATTCCCACTTTTGTTGGTGGTCATGTGTGAAGGATAATATGTATAGTTTTTGATGATAAATATCTCAAGAGACAAGAACCTGAATGGACAATGCATGTAACTGTGTTCATAAGGTGACCTAGATGAATTAGTACTAAGAGTCTTGGCCACATACATAAGGATTAAAATTCCCATGTGTGTCTGGGAGTGTTGCATTTGTACAGAGAATCAGTCTCTATGTTTCCAAAAGCCTCGCCAATGCTGGGATTGCAAAATCCAATGGGGACACGTACCAAAAGCTTTCCCATCACTGCCAACTAGCAAATTTTTTCGAATCCTTCGCTCCAAGGAAACCGTTTACCCCTTACCCGCTAAAATTTAAGTTCAATCAATAAAAATAAAAAATATAATAATTATTTAAAATTACAAACTCATTCAAATTATATTTCACTTTAATTCATTTCCAAAAATTTCAATCTAGACTGTCTTTTATCTTCTAATTCATCCCTAAATTTGTATAAATAAGTTAAATTAAGATGAAAGGAACTAAATTATGAGATTGAGTTGACTCTAACACATTCTTAAGTGATATTTTAGAAAATTCCCAGCACATCATTTATAAATTATTAAAAAAAATTATCATGTAAATATACTTTATAGTAATACAATCTTGTTATTAAAAAATATTTTTACATATATTATAGATATAATATATATTAAGATATTATTGAAAATATAAATATAAATCATAATAATACATAAATTTATACTTACATATATTATATTCATAATAATATTTTTGATGTTATTATATTTACGGTGACCGAATCTATTTTCATAGTTTCGAAAGGTAAAAAGAATAGTTTGAGATTTTTTTTTTCGTCTCTGGAATATCTACCGTCGACAGTAGTGATTAACTTCCTCACTACATTGGAGGCACCTCAAAAGATGGAATAGCTAGCCTCAAGATTTAAAGGGCTGTATACACAAGGTAGGATTTGAATCCCTGAGCTTCCTTAAGCGTAAATTAACTCTATTGTTGAACCACACGCTTGAAGTTTCCTTTGAGGTATAATAGCCCTCATCATCCAGCAAAAATACACTCTAGTAACCTCTCCAGCCTTTCTTTCGTTTTTTGATAATATATATCCACCTGATTTACGTTGACTGCGTTGTCCGGGCATCTATTATATCTTCAACTATTTTTTCGCCTAACCTTCTCTCACTGTTAGTGTCAAGGAAAAATATATTTGAAAAATATTTAAACATTGGGTGAAAGAGTTAAAAGAAAATATAAATATAATATGTAATATAATGTGATAAGAAAATATATATAAAAAAATTATTAATGAAAGTGTTTTAAAAAATAAAATATCTAAAAATGGTTGAATCGCTAATCATTTGTAAGACGAAAAGGGGTGTTGTTTTTGCGACGTCTCTTTGGATTGACTTGGTCTCCATTCTCCTTTCTGTTTTACCAAACATTTTTGGGTATGGCAGCGTACAATACATGGGATGTATAACGTGTCTACAATTGATGTAACATTTACGTGATATACAGGACGACAACAGATATTTTACGTGACAGAGTTTACAAAATTATCAACAGCTGTCTACAACAAACACAATTTCATCTGCTTATAATGTAATAATTTCTTAGATAGATGCCAATTCCTTAGGAAAATATTATTATAATAATAATAATAATAATTATTATTATTATTATTATAATGATACATTTTTTTGGTATAGCTTGAATATATATATTCTCATATTAATACATTGATTCTAGCTATTAAAATTCAAACAAATCAAGATCAAAGTTAAGCTGACTAAGATAGTGAGACGAGACAAGTCATCATTTCCTTAATTAAATCAATCTATTAATTTATTTTTCTTCCTATAATTTTCTGTCTCAAATGGTTCAACTTTAATTTAAACACTCCATATACGAGATTGAGAGTTATTTTTGTTAGAATTCATCTTATATTATAATGGTTACTCAAAATATCTTTTTATACATATGGAATGGGAGTCATGATAAAACTGTATTTATCTTTAAAATATTTTTTTACAGGTCAAATATTTAATAGTACGAATGATTAAGAAATAGTTATTAATCAATGCTTTCTCTATAAGAATGATTTAATAAGACATTTTATTACAAAACACTTGTATCTTTCTTAATTTATAAACAATATTATTTGAGTTGAATATAGTTATCATGAATAATAATTTTTTTTAAGTATTTAGTATAATTATATATTTTAAATTTGAATTTCAGATAATTAATTAAGTTAAAATAACTATAGAAAAACATGATTTATAATAAACATTCAAATTATTACTTATGATTTTGACTCTCTTATTTTTAATTGGTCATTTTAAATATTTATATTTTCTTAATTATTTAAGTTATGTTTTTTACCCTAAAATTTATTCTAATATTTAACAAAAATATAGTATAGTTATATACGTATCATTGATTTGTATGTATTAGTAAAATGAAATGTATAAAATATTTAAATAAAAAATGTATAAACGTTTTATATATTTTTCCTTGCGAATCTATAGAAAAATAATGAGATATCACATTTATGTTATATTTCTATTAATTATTAAATAAAATTTTGAAATACGAAAGTAAGGAACTTAATTTGATAATTAAAAATTTTAAATATCAATTATAAGCAACTAAAATTACACATAAGATATGAATACTAAAAATATAATAAATAAAGAAAAATGATAGATGCTTCGAAAATCATTTCCAAAAAAAATAAAATATTAATTTAAATTATAAAATATTAAATTAAATAATTATTTTATAATAAATTTATTATAAAATAATAATATTTTAACCTTTTGAAATGTGATTCAATTTTTTTTTTTTCTGGAAGATGAAGCACTGGTCATAAATAAAACCAATAAAGTAACACAAAAAGAAAACGTAGAGGACAAAATTAAAATCTTGGTTGTTTGGTATTATTCTGTGTCAGACACGAGAGAATTAAACCTTCTTCCCTAATCCCCGTCCCTTTTGCAAAGGGAGAAAGAAAAAACAGCGAAAAAACAAGGGTAGGTGTCGTGTCCCATAACGTGGCTCGATGCTCATGCAAGGCTACGAACACATTCTTTTTGCTGACCCTTCAGTGACTCATGCGGTTTATGAGTTGTCTGTTCAAACTTCAATGCGAATGTTTTTTTTTTCTTTTTTTTCAGATTTGGCGAATTGGCCACACCTTTTTCATTGAATTACTTTTTAACAACATATGACACGTTTATCCATGTTTTATTCTTCCCATATGATTTGTGACCATTCTACTTTCCTAGGAAGAGAAATATAGGTAATAGATGAAAATATGATACGATAAGAAGAAAAAAATATAGAAAAATGATGAGTATAAAGTATTCATGTATAATTATATACTTTAGATAATTATTAGTCGTAACATCTTTTTCAATATATTTTTATCATACTCTTTAAAATTTATTAAAAATTAAAATTTAACTTTTTTTAATGAGAATTATTATTAACTGATAAAATGTAGTTATAAAAATTGAAAAGAGTAACTAAATGACTATTCCCACTTTAACCACCACATTTTAGGGAACACCGAAATAGAACTTTAGAACCAGCTGCATAAAAAACATTCAAGCGTCCACATTAAGTAGATTTTTTGTTATTCTCTTCTCTCGGGATATCTATCATGAGTAATACTATTGTCAGAACAGAGATCCTCATTTGTTCGAATGTTGTTTAATCTCACATCCCATAAATTACCATAATATTATTCCATAAATGGCACTTGCAGTAGAAAATCAAGAATCATGGTCAATGGACCAACACAGCAATATTGCAAAATTTAAAATGTTACATTAGATTTTGTCATATTTCCTTAATTTTTCACATTACCGTGGCTCCACGGACATAAACGACAACTAAAGCAAACCCTTCTTCAATAAAAGAAACCATTTATTAAGAAGTGTAACTAAATTTCATGTCAACAATACATCCAAAGTTACGGGGTCATTTTTTTGAACAAAGGAAATAAACATAAAAAGGAATCTGAATAAAGCATATTGAAAATTTCAACCCTTCCCCTTAGACACATTGTTCACGAGTAATTCCATTCATGTGATTTGTGACATTCATTTCAAGCTTCCCAATTTCTATGTCCACCTTCTCCAAGTTACCCTTTTCCGTGTCCCCTTTGTTTGGTTCTTCCACAGCACTCCCTTTTCGGTATTTAAAGTAAATTACAAGTTGAAGAATGCCCAAGGGAGTTCCAATCACACTTGGCCCCTATCATTGTGAAAGAAATAAAATATCAGTATTTGGAGTACTAAATATTTTTTTTCTGAATTTATGAAATTATAATTGAAGAGACCATGAAACATACCGCAACGAATATATCACGAATGAGTAGTCCATAAGTCAGCCATAGTAAAGTTGCTAAGAATGAGCATACGGATAACGGTAGTGGCATGAATTCCACGCTCTTGGTTTGTATAACTTTCTTCTGCAGAAATAAAAAATGAAACATTGTTACAAAATTATTATTTAAGCCATCATATAATATACCATCTCAGTTAATTGAATATATCATATAGCATAACTTTTGTTTATTTTAATTAGTGAGGTTATATTTTATATATTAGTATATTGTTTGATACTTTGATGGATTTTCTCTGTTTCTCTGTTTTGGGTTTGCTTTCTATCAGTTCCCATTTAACTACAAGAATATACGCTAGTAGTAACAGAATATTACAGTGAAGGACAAAGATGAGTCACTCACCATCACAACTAGGGGTGATGCGTACATTGCAACTGAAACACCTAAGCCAATGCTACCCACGAGAAGCTTTCGGTGACGATTATCATGGAATGCAAAAGCTGACACTGCAGCAATTATGCTGAACAGAAGCAGAACTGGTATTGCTGTCATGGCCACCTTTCTCTGCAAAACAAAATTACTCGTCTCAAAAATCGCGTTTTTGCTTCTTGTTTCTACATATATTTTTACTATGAGAAAGAAATGACTAACTTAGGCGGTGCTAAACATTTTCATAAAATAATAAAAATGAAAAAAAGTAAGTATTTGTCAAAAAAAAAATTCAAGCAAGGAAGTTAAATTGATGAAAACTTTGACACATGAAGAGAAGGATGAAGTGAAGCTAACCTTTCCTTTGGCCGAGGCATACCAGAAATAAATGAGAACATAGGATAACTCAAGAGCAATTCCAACTCCGTTAACAGTGACCAGAGGGAAATTTTCCCACTTGTAGCTTACAACAGGCAAACCGTACCAAGTGTAAAGGAGACAGTTCAAGAGTCCAATGATGTAAGGAATGCACGAAAACTCTTCTGTGCTTTTCTTCCTTATAACTCTTTTAAAGGTGACCCTGAACATGAAAAGCATGAAAAGCGTTAATCACTTTATACATTCTCTAAAGTTATAATGAGATATAACTTATAATGTTATATGCCTAACATACATTGGTGCAGCGTAAAGGGAAACTGAGGCTGCATTGCCTGCAAGAAAGAAAGAGAAACATTCTAATGAGCCACTGTTTTTGAAGACTCAAATAATCATAATCCCAAGTTGTAAGCTTAGGAATGAATGAATAAACGAAGAAGTACCAAGAACAGCAACAGCCAAACGAAGGCTCTCTGACATCTTTTGTTCTTTTAGTGAATACTTTGGGGTTTGAGGTTTGAAGAAGTGAATATTTTGTACTGTGTTGAGAAGTGCATTGAGGAAGCTCTATTTATAACAGCTCGGGAGTACTATTGAACGCGTAGGCAAACATAAAATAATTATAATTTAGAAATGAAAACAATATTTAAAAAGGAAGAAAAAAAGGAAGAAGTGCTGTCTACGTCTTTAATATTCATGTGGATGCAAAATTTTGTACAAATTCAGAAGCTTTCCATCAACTTGCTCAATATAAGAGTACTCTTCCAAATTCCCACCCCAAACCCCCCTACTTTTTATTTCTTTTTCTTAATTTGCTCCAGTTTTAGGGGCTTATGATATGGTGAAGCACGAGACAAAAACCATTATTTGCCATAAACTCTGATGTTTGATGCCTTCATTTTTGACAAGTCTCTTGCGTGTCATATGGTATTTCATGTTTTCTATAATATTTTGGCCTAATAACTTTGTCTTTCTGTTTAAATTATCAAGTGCTTCTGCTTCTTTTTTTGTTGGTAAAGCGTTTCAATAGTGCGTTTCAAAACATTACTAAAATGATCTACTCTTCATGACGTGGCTTCCATTTTGTAGAGATATGTGAGAGTTAATTTGGCACATGGCCACATATTAAATTCTCTAAACAGGTGTTTTAGCAGACTAAGTGACAAATTACGAGTTTTAACTAATGACATGTTTTAACTTTTTCCTTTGTAAATTGAAAAATGTAATTACGTATTATGTAAAAATTGATGGGATCACATAATTTCGAATCATATAATATTTTTTTCGAGAAATTATGATTTTATATTAAAAATTAATGAAATAAATTTTAATTTATAATATATGCATGTGTATTTATTTATTTTTTTATCAAAATTGTGGTACATTTAGATATATAAACAACGTCGTTAAAAATTCAATAATTTACTACCAAAAGAAAAATTGTTCAGAAACTTAACTATAAAATTTACTAGAAAAGGTAAAACAATTTTCAAAGAGATTAAGAATCATTTTGGATAACTCGAGAAAGTTAACTCTTCGAAATGTTCCGTAATATATTTTTTGAAAGTATAATGTTCCGCAAGTTGATTAATGGATTATTGTTTAAGATTTTTATTCCAAAGAATATTTTTTAAAAGATATTTCTTCTTCTTCCAAAAAATAAAAAGGAAAGAAATACCCAATATGGTATTTAACTATTTGATGAAGTTTTTTTTATAAATATTTTCTTTTTAAAATAAAATAAGCATTTGCAGTTAGCTTTTATAAAAGTTATATATTTTTTTATTAACAAACAATTTACTTTTATTTTAAAGATTTTTCAAATTTTATTTTTTCCATTTCCACTTTCTGAGGAAATGAAATTTTAAAAAATCTATAACAGTGCGGTGCATGGGGGGTGAAGTTATTTTTCCTTCCATGTCGGTCGGGGTCTGAAATTCTATTAATTATATTAATAGTACTTGGCACAACACATTGCTTGCTTTCATAGTAATAATTTCACTTCAAAACTAGAAAATTGTACTTCAGATAATAGAGTTCTTCCACAATGGTTGATTAAAAAATCATTGAGATATGTGATAATATTAAATACACATATAAAAAAATTTATAGTTAACTATAATTTTAATGGTTAATTTTTTAATTAATAGTTATATTGTATTATCCTACACTTCCCTTTTATAGGAATCAAACCTTTATAGTAATATCATATATTCATCAATCACAAAATCTATCATAATTAGTAGTTGCAATCATCAAAGATTTGATTTCTAGTTATGTGAATGAAGAAAATTTTGTTTAAAGAGATAAATTCTGCCAGACAATTCTTATGTTTAGAAATCAATTAGTCTCGAAATACTAATTGAGAAATATTTTTTTTAATTTAAATATAATTAAGTAATATTATATATACAATAAAAACTGTATAACAATTTATATAACATCATTTTTCTTATCTATCTCTTTATTATTTTATTTATTATGAAATGAAATATTATTAATGATAAAAAAGATAAATACAAAGATAATATTATATTACTTGTTGTACAATTTTTATTATATGTATAACATTAATCTTTAAATATATATATCAAATTTATAGATAAAAAATAATAATAAAAGATATCAATTAGATTATATATCAAAAATAATATGACGACTTAGCTGTGTTTTTGATAAAGGAAAAAGAAAGAAGAGAAATCTAAAAAAAAAGTATAAAATAAATATTATTCGATAAAAGGAAAATAAAGTGAAACTTTATTTTTTATTAATAATTTTATCTATAAATAATAAATAAAAATTATTATTATTGTTATTAGAAAATTATTTTTTATAAATAATTTTATTCAAAAACAAAAAATAAAAATTATTTTTGTCATTATCATATTTATTTATTTATTGTTATTATTGGAAGCTTAATTTTTATAAATAATTTATTTAATAGTGTTATTGATGTTGAAAGTTTATTTTTTAAAATTAGTTTAAAATAATAAATAAAAATTATTTTTACTATTATAATTTTTATATTTTATATAATTGACCACTATTTATTAAAAAGAGAAAATTCTCAAATTCCCTTTATTTTAAAGGAAAAGTTTTATACAATAAAACTCACATTAAAATATTTATATTTATCTCATCTTTTCTCATATCAAATACATTCTATTTTTCAACTTCTCTCCAGTTTCTCCTATTTCCTTTCTCTTTTCTACAATTTTGATCAACCCAAACACATCCTTAAGTCATATGGCTCGACCTCGGAATACAGAATTTTATTATTCTCATTAATGCATCATCGATCATTCTCTGAACCTTGGTAGAACAATTCCCAGTATGTGGAATAAAAGTATAAAATCATATCTGACTTGAGGGTTTCAATGGTGCCCATTTTACAAACTCATCACTTGAATTCTATTCCAACACTGCTCCAAAAAGAAGGTTTATCTTTGTTGATGGCGATGTCTTAATTAAGATTAGAGGGCCAAAATTATAATAACCACTAAAATTAAGTGAAAGGGGGTCTTTCACTCTTTCTAATCCATTACATAAAGCCGAATGAGAACCGACACCAAAAGTTTTGCACGAATTCGAATAAATCCGATTTTGATTTATTTGGAGTTGTGACTGCTAGCTACTAGTGTCTATAGCAAGTAACAGAGTGAAAAATTGAATATCTTCAACCCCAAAATCCAGCATTTGGTTTCGGATGCTGTATGTTTGTTTGGTTCTGCATTTGGTGATTGGCATAAAGAATCTTGATTTAATGATTTAGATAGGTTGTGACATAGCTGGCGCCGCTTGTGCATGCAAACTATATATGATTTGTTTCACCTGCCCATAGCTGGAGGGTCAAATTTACAGCAAAACTTTTTTGACTTAGCTAGCTACCATGCACTGTCCAACTTGCCCAATTGCTGCAATGTTCACTTTTTCGTATGAACTCTAGACCATTCGTTTGGTGGTTACTGATCATATATAGCTTATTCGTATTTGGTGGATGGATCGCAGCAACACTCATATACTATGTTTCCCCAAATAAAGTGATCCCTAGTAAATACTTGTGACACGCTTCTTGGTTCTGACCCGAGTAAAAGAGACATCTCTATCGTCTTCTGTTCTGTTTGTTTTATGTCTCACTTTTCGTACTAACTGCTGTAATTACTTCATTTGCACATGAAGCTGCCAGGAAAACTGCAAAACCAAATCCAGAAAACACATCATGTATTTATTTAGATATCAATATAGCTTCTGTAAACCTAATAGATTTTTTTTTTGTTAAATCATTTCCTTTAAAAATTTTGTATTTGTAAGCTATTTTTATCTGGTCGTTTCTGGGGTCGTCTAATCAGATCTTAAACTTTACAAAAGTTACGGGAGATCATGAAGATTTTCTTTTTTCTTTTTCTTTTTTTAAAAAAAGATTTTTTAGCACCAGAGAGTCTATTATAGGATTGTTAACTGTTTAGATATTTAAAAAATCTATTTTATTAAATGATTTAGTTATTCAATTTATACTTATACAGATCATTTTTTTTAAATCAATTTGTTTTATAAGAATAGATCAATTAATTGAATTATTTTTATATAAAATGGTTTAGATGATTTTTTCTCTCGAACTAGTTTAATTATTCAATTTATACTAGTATTTTAGTACGTGTAATATATAGACTAAATATTTATTATATATATTAAATTTTATAATAAAAAAATATAAAAATATTATATTTGAACATA